AGTAGGTACCTGGGTGGTTAGGGCAAGTGTTGTCCCAAGGGACCGCCTTCAAGCCGCGGCACGCCTGGTCGAAAGGCCCAGCATTGCTTGTCACTTTCCAGTCTTGGACCCCTTTTTTTTTTGGGGGGGGGGGGGCTCCAGGCGATATCGGGGAGTTGAGGAGATGAGGGGCACTGCTGGGATGATGCAACTGACTTGGCATCGTGTCATATGGTTATCGACGTCATGGCGCAGAACGGAACCTATAGACCTAAGCATAGCAACATCCCTGATGCTACACCACCACCCAGAGCATAACATAGAGCACCTGAAATCACAGTCGTTCGTAAGATGAAGACTTGGTATGCCTGGCTGGCGCAGTCAGCGGTCGCGATCGCAGTCACCGGCGGTGGCAGCGCGATGGCCACGAGCTCGAGCGTAATCTTGCCATATAGGGGACTTGATCGTTAGCTTTTCTGCGGAGGGGGGAGGGGCAACTGCATAAGGAAACAAATACATAAATACATCCAAACATACACACACACACACACATATATATATATATATATATATATCGAGGCGAGGCTGCAAAGAGATATCAGTAGCAGTTCTGAGGCTGCTAAGAAATGTCAGCAGCAACGCTTCAGAACCTTTGCTTTTGGGCAACCGGAAGTGTCTGCCATTCTTGAGGTTGTGGGTTGCTGGAGCAAGAATCGGATGAAGGGGCTTGGGGCAGAGGCTCAGGAACATCAGTGACTGAAGTCCAGAGAGAAGCCCTTGCGACAACACAGAAGAGGCCGGAGAGCTTGTGTAGAAATCCGAAATCCTGACCACCTTCTGTGACCTGTCCACCAAACCTCCCGGATGTTCACTCCTTCCCAAAACCGCTGCACGCGGTCATATCTATTGGCATGTACCCTCAAGCCGGTTCCTGCACCCTCAGCTCTAGATGCCCTATTATATAAGGTGCCATGAACATCCCACACCCGAAATCCCGAATTCGGACTTCGAGGAGCCCTTGTAGAGCAGCCCTTGTAGGAGCCCCTCAAAAGGGACCCTTCCACGACCCTAAACCCTAAACCCTAAACCCAAACGAAGCCATGAAGTGCTTGCCGGGCTCTCCGAGGCTCCGTCCGAGCCGGAGGCTGAGGCGGAGCCCAGCCACCGAGGGGCGGAGGACTTTTACGAGAGCCGGGAGCCGCAGGAAGAGGAAAGGAGTGGTTAGGGTTTAGGGGTTTGGGGT